TGGTCAGGGTGTATTGTATCAGAAAAAAAATGTATTTTTGATAAAAATAAATAAATTCAACACATTTATACCGAATTTTAAATAAATATTAAAAATTGAAGCATTTCAATACTTCTACTCACCAGTTTAGATGACTTTGCTTAGCAAAATCAGAGAGGACTGAACAACTAAAATGGAATGTAAACTTTCTGATGGATAAACTCAATCCTGCAATGGCATCATCATTGTCACTTTTCAGTTTGGTCTGTTGGGTCAATTCAATAGAAAGAAAAGTGAATATACTGTGGTATAAATTACAAAGATACAAATGGAAGGAAGTTCTCAGACTCATCCAGTACTATCTTTTGTAATTATGTCCTTGAGGTATGGGATTTGGTTTTGATGATTTACCAGTAAATACTGCCACCTTGGGAACATTGAACAATCAAATCTTATAGAAATTAGTAAAATTTGCAGATAATGTGCCCAACCATATATCAAACAGTGAAACATAAAAATAGATGTCATATTTTGACATGTAGATAATTTGGGTGATAATTTGTTCATGTTGTCTCTGCTTTCCTAGGCATTATCAGTGCTGGCTATTTTTTTTTTTTTGCTTCTTTCCTTTTTTCTTATTTTTGAGATTATGGCACTGTTACATCATTTACCCTTTCTGTAACCTTCCTCCAAATCCTTCCTTATATTCCTTCTTTCTCTCTTTCAAATTCATAGCCACTTTTCTCATTAACTCTTGGCATGTGCATATATTTTATGTATATACATATATACTTCTAAATACAAACTTCGGTCTTCAGAGTATTATGTGTATGTTTTTAAGATTGGCCATTTTGTTATCCAAAGATAATCAGTTGGTGTCCCATACTCTGGAAAGACAATTTCTCCCATGTTCAATATACCTTAGATGCCTGCAGTTCTCCGTGTAGTGTTGAGGTCTGATTGTCTTGCTGCCATTTACTTTGCCATGTCTATTACTTTGTTCTTGTTTAACTAATGTTTAAACAGTCATGATAGTGAGACTTTATGGCTGTAGCTTGTGACATTTCTCTGAGACAACTACTCACATCAATTGCCTGTTCCACTAACACTTACAATATTTTCATCCCCCTTTTCTGCAACTTTTCCTGAGATACAGTTGAGGGAGTATTATTATAAATGTACCCACTAGACTGAGCTCCACAACTCTAAATTTTCACTGGTTGTGATTTTCTCTAGTGGTCTCTGTCTCAAAGACAAGTTTCCTTGATGAGGAGAGACTACTTTACTAATATGCATTAGCAAATATTTTGAACATTGTTAGGAATTGTACTGGTTTAATAATTTGGTGGAATAGGTTCTTTCCATGATATCAAGTGGGTAAGGCTTCTATCGCAAAGGAAACACATGAGAACATTTTTATGTGGGACCTAATTGCTGCTGATACACAGATCATAATATAGAAAGCAATAGCTCATTCTCAGTTATTGTTTGGCATAGTTCTCAAAACTGTGAGTAACTACTGTGTTTCCATGAATTACCCAATCTAAGGTAGGTTTCTGTGGCTACCTGAACATCATATAAAAGTATATCACTGTTTTTGGAAAATACTAACAAGGTTTGGAGTAAGTAACATAAATATAAAAAAAAACCTTACCATTATGATGAAAAGAAAAAAAAAGTAAGAATTAAATCCTGTTCATCAAACATATTTAATTTCCATATACCACAAGAGGTAAATAAAATTTAGCTATGACTTCCTAATACTTTACTGTACCTATCACATTGCAAGAATACTAGGGAAAAATTAAATCTGAAAATGCTGCCCTTCCTATACTAGACATGAATCATTGTGTGAAGTGTCCAGATGACCAGTATGCCAACACAAAACGAACTCACTGCCTCAAAAAGATTGTCACCTTTCTGGCTTTTGAGGATCCCCTGGGAATGTCTCTGGCTGGCTTGGCTCTGTGTTTCTCTTCTCTTACAGCTGTTGTACTCGCTATCTTTTTGAAGCATCAAGACACTCCCATAGTCAAGGCCAATAACCGAGTTCTCAGCTATGTCCTACTCATCTCCCTCATATTTTGTTTTCTCTGTCCCTTGCTCTATATTGGCCATCCACATATGGCCACCTGTATCTTGCAGCAGACAACATTTGCAATTTTCTTCACCATGGCAGCATCTTCTGTCTTGGCTAAGACAATTACTGTGGTACTAGCATTCAAGATCACTGTTCCAGATAGAAGAATGAGATGGCTACTGGCATCAGGTGCACCTAACTTCATCATTCCCATCTGCACTGTGATCCAACTGATTCTCTGTGGAATCTGGATGGGAACTTCTCCTCCATTTGTTGATGGGGATGTACATGCTGAACATGGCCATATTTTGATTGTCTGCAACAAAGGTTCAGTTATTGCCTTCTACTCTGCCCTGGGATATTTGGGCTCCCTTGCCCTGACAAGCTTCACTGTAGCTTTCCTGGCCAGAAATCTACCTGACACATTCAATGAAGCCAAGTACCTGACATTCAGCATGATGGTGTTCTGCAGTGTCTGGATCACCTTCCTCCCTGTCTACCAAAGCACCAAGGGCAAGGCTACAGTAGCTGTGGAGATTTTCTGTATCTTGGCCTCAAGTGCAGGGCTACTTTTTTGCATCTTTGGCCCAAAGTGCTACATTATTTTGTTCAAACCACAGATAAATTCTTTTCATAAGGTCAGGAAAAGACATTCTAAAACTGAAAATATCCATTAAACATAATAAACATTTCCTATACCAGACATGCCTACAATATCACAAGCATCCTTTCTGCTAACCAAATATTATGTCAAAGTAAGAAGTTTAATCTTATGAAAAAATGTACAAAATAAGCTGCATAATAAAGTTTGAACACAAAATATGGATTTCAGTTCTCTTGGATGAGACATTATAATAAGCAATTTCTACAAATGTAATTCTGCTTTTTGTTATTGTTTATGATTGAATTGTGAGGCTATTGGCATGGAAAATTTTACCTTATTTCATTTGACTGCAATTTTCCACTAAAAATGATGTGTTATTTTTACATTCCAAAAAAATATGGGCATGTAGAGTGTATATTCATCAGGATTTAATTATGAAACCCTTCATTTTGATCTAGGATTGTCAAGAAGCTATAAAAAAGTAATTAAATTATGTTCTATGTAAGGATATAGACCAAAACATGGGATAATGCAAAAAACGATGTCAGGATGTACATGAGTCTAAGTGTTTTCTGATTTAATTTGAAGTTTGAACAATAGGAAGATATTTCATGTCTTAACTTGTATGACTGTTGAATATCTCATAGCTGGGAATGGAAAAGGGCCAACAGTTTAACACTCTATTTTTAGTTTGCTAAATTATCACAGTATCAAATGCCTTTTCAAATATTTATGTTTATGTCTAGAGACATAATCTGCTCTTATGCTTTGCTATAAAAGCTTATTTATGTAATAGAAAGAAGTAAAGGAAGAAATGCATAATAGTTTACAGTCCTGAGAAATACAGACTAAGTGCTCTGACCTAAATAGGACATCTAACCAAATCCTCCCATCATCATGGCTTTGGGACCATCTTGGAATCGGTGGCAGAAGGATTTAAGAGCCAACAGGTAAGGAGTTCTAGGAATGCCATCTTTACAGCAAGATGTTTCTATTGTACTTCTGGTTACTTGACAAAATCTCCACAAGAACAAACAAGTGAAAATCCTGGCAAAAACTCAGTAGATCTTCTTTAGGAACCCACCCCTACATATTGATGAGCTATAGGCAGTTCATAGTGCCTATGGGAGGAAAAGATCTGTTACAAATATAATAAATGGCCCTAAAGTCATGCACATGTTACCATCACTAATTGAGCTTACTGTGTTATAAAAATCAACAGCCAAAAATATGGGAGAAGTGTATCTTTCTATGAGTAGAATGTTGTATGGATAAGCAAGGAGTAGATATGTTTCTGTTACATTGATTAATGACATTCTCAAATAGAAATAAATTTAAAAATGTTCTCTTTGAGACTCTTCATTGTACATCTATGAATTGAAGCTAACTGTTCCCAGTAATAAACTTGAGGGTCTGTGGGACTGCAATTAACCTGTGCCCTAAAATGTTCTTGGGCTTTATAGGAATTCCTAAGGTCAGATATCTTAGGGCCTAGATGAACTAGTAAGTGAACTAAATAGAGAGTTCCTACTACCTGAATGTTAACAGAACCTGGAAATAGACATAGAGAAAAGCAAAGGAATGCTGATTACAACTTGAAAATTGGTGGTGCTTTTTGTCATCTTTAAACACCTGGAGTTCTTAGAACTACAGTATAGGCTGGGACCACATATCCTTTATAACCCTCTAGCTCTGGATTGTTCTGTAAGATTTTGTGACATTTTCATGGACAAGAAATAGCTTGGTCACAAAGTGGTTCATGTGCATAGTGGCTAATAGTCAGTAATTTAGAAAATGGTTGCTATTTTTCCTTAATTCATGATTTTAAGGATATTGGCACTTTCAAGAAAGTCATTATTTTCTTTAAAGGACACTGTGACAGGAATATATCCTAGGCAAATTCCAGATCAGTGACATCCCTTTGAAAATAACATTTTGAGGTAACGTGTTGGACAATGTATGTCTATATTAGAAGTTATAAGAAATACTGATGTGTCTCCTGGGATCTCTCCATATAGAATGTATAATAATAAGAATTTGAGTGGGAATTGACGACTAAAAACCTTTTACATGGCCTGAGTTTTGTTCTGTGACATGGATCTGGTCTGGAATGCAGCCCTGATCCTCTGAGAGACTTTTTTTTTTTCTGTTTTAAAAAGTACAACCAGTTTACCGTCAGAACTTTCATTGGACATACTCCTTTCCAAACAGTTTCCTCTGACACAAAAGCATCTGCCTTATGGAGACACAGTTTATACTTCCAAAGGCATGTGCTGAAGCCCCCAGTGAATCATACTGTGTAACAGAGAGAACAGTGAGTGAAGACTTGGCTAGTTCTCATTACAAGCTAGTGTTCAGAACATCACAGTCCAACTTGGCTCCAGGGGCCCAAGAGTTCTTCCAGATGGTTCTTGGAGATCTGCAGACCTGAGGCCCTCAGAGGAGGAGCTGCCTGTGCCCCTGCGCTGCATCCCATGGCTGTCCACCTGTGGGTCTCTCATAGACTTGTCTCCTCACACACTCTGACAGGGATGTTATAGTGCCGATCGTCCTCAGCTATGAGGGTCACCATTGGCCAGTCCTTGGGGGGGGTCAGTAGGATAGACTGTGATGAACTCCTCGGTGTTATACTTGGACAGCCGGTACCCCTGGATGGTGTGGCGAACAGCATAGGCAAGAAAGAACATTTCAACCTGTTCAAGGCCACCAGTGTGTCCCACCTGGTTTAGGTGGTTCCTTAGCAGCTGTCCAGGGTCATTTGATGTGCCTCGAGCAAACAAGAGCACAGAAAAAAACGGAACTTCCTTTCCCTTCTCTTTATCTTCATAGAGTTCGATAGCTCTGTTTAACATTAGAAATTTGACAGCTTCATAGAGGCTGTACTCCTCTTCTTCATTTGTGAACAGTTCATCACACGCTAGCTGCCTGGCTTCAGTAGTCTTCATTTCAGCCAGGCTCGCCCACTTCTTCCTCAGCAGGGCAAGAGACTCCTTAAGTCTTTCAACCAGGTCCTCATTCTTCCTATCAAACCTCAGTCCAAGTTTCCACTGCTTGATCCAGCTGTGCTTGTTTATCAGCTTCTCTGGTAACAGCGTGAGCTCCGGGTCCTGAAGCCAGAGGGGCAGCTCCGCCAGCTGGCTCATGGCCTGGAACATTGTGGCCCTCAGCGCGCAGTAGTTATCACCACGTACTCGCCTTATAGATGTGAATTTCTGAGAAACTTCCTCATAGCCCTTCTTCATACACGTGGCTTTCTGAGTATTTCCCCTCCATTCATTTTTGCAGTAGTCCATAATATCCATTTGAGGAGCCACACTTAGCCTGGGTTCTGATATTCCTCTTTCATGTATTAGCAATTCTTTCTCCTTTTCTATTTCATCTGCAGCATGATACATGTCCTCCTCGTGCTCGGCCGGGCACCGCATCGCGGCCCGGGGCTGCCCGCCAGTCGTCACCTTCCCCTGCGTCTTGGCCCAGCTCGCTCCTGGCCACGCTCCGGGTTGAGGCATGGTTCCCCGACACATGAGTGGCCACGCCCGGCCCTGCGCTCCCACCGTCCCGGGGCCATAGCTGCTGCTGCACCCACGCCTCGCGTGGTCGGCAGAGCGCTTCCATGAGCATCACTCTCTGAGAGACTTTTTTACAGCTTGGCTTACTTTTATCTGAGAAAGACTCTCATCTTTCATTGCTCACAGTGTCAGGGAGGGATCCAGTGAACCTTGTAAGTATCAAGGGTTACTTGAGGCTATTTTGAGTTGTTTATCTTCTCTCTTATGAGGTCCGAGTAGTCTGGAAATTTTAATTGCAGAGGAAACTGTTACCCAGCACTCCACTCCCTGCTATGTCTCTTACCCTCTTTCTGTACCCTCTTCTGCAGTGATCCATGAGCTTTCGCATCAGTGACTACAGATGTCCACAGATAATTAATAGCCTACCATGTCCCAATAATAGGCCATTGTTCTCAGGAGATTCACCCATAGTTATGAGTTGGGGCTGACAATAACAGTGATCTATGGGTAAAAGCACACATGTTCAGAATGCAGTTTGACAGGCCAATAATGTCTATCAAATACAACTATAAAAATTGTTTCTTTAAGCACAGATTTTTGCTCTGACTTACATTACCAGACTTGACCTCTTTCTTGTCAAGTAGGCATTAAATCTAATTGGAAGACTGTTGTTCTTACCCCCTGATAACTGAGCACCTATGCAGAAGAAATCATATTTTTCCTGGAATGTTGCTGGTGTAGTTTGCAGGGTCCATAGACAAACAGGAATGTTGTTGATAGTTCTCCACTGGCAACTTCACATTGCCCCTCTGACATTCCATTAGGCAGCTAACATGGTGATAGGTTCCATTCTAGCCCCAGGTTTATTCCTCTGTGTCCTGCAGTCCAAGTGTATATATTCAGTGTCTTTAGCCATAGATAATACCATCCAGTCCTGGCATAAAAATCAAGAGCATAAACAATGGCTTCTATAACTTGTGGGCCTTAGGGTCTTTCCTAGACTAAAACACATAGGGGCATACCCACTACTATCATTAAGTTTTCATTTAGTAACTTTATGGCCCCTTGTGGTGTCCTTTTACAACCATGTAGCATAACAGTAGGGTTGCAAAATAGTTCAAAGTATCATTGTAACAGGATATCTCACCAATGACTTTCCATATCTACAAAGCATTTATTGCTTAGAATTTATCACCTACATAGTAAATCATTATACAGAGGATATATAGTACAAAGAAATACTCCAAAACCTTAGTGTGTTTATAAACACAACCTTGGTCAGGCACTCTGAAAGCCTGTTTTCATCGGTTTAATTAAGTGTCAGGTTATTCCAGATGTTCACAATTAAGAAGATACTAACAGTGAACGTAAGTATGGTCTAATACAGCATGGAAAGGTTTCATCAGCTTGTGTCAGTTACTTCCTCAAAGATCAAAGATTGTTACAAAGCATGTGTAGGAATTTCTAATAAGGTTGATTCTTTTAATCCTCAGTATTTCTCTTCAATCCATTTTATTTATATATCCAGGAGCTCTTCCATAATCCCCATACATTTCTCTAACCTGGATGAACTATATGAGCCTCACTTAAGCAAATCCAAAATAAAGCATTAAACACAGAAAGAAAACGCGGGAACACAGAGTCAACATAAGTATTTCAGATATATGAATAATGAGTATAGAAAGAAAGGAGAATTAGTTCAAAGGCATAGGGAATATTTTCAACAAAGTTGTAAAAGAAATATTTCCTAATTTGAATAAAAACAAATGCTAGAGGCATGTAGAACACCAAATATATAGGTCTTAAAAATAAACTTCCCATGCCATACAGTAGTCAAAACACTAAACGTACACAGCAAATAAAGGATGTTGAAAATAGAAGAAAGATTGATTTAGAAACATAATCAGATCCATATCAAATATACAATATTATTCAATGGAGACCACAAAAAGCAAAAGTCATTGGATTGATGATGTAAAAATTGAAAGGCAGCAAATCCGAGCCCTGTGTTCTGCACCAAACAAAACTATTAGTCATAGTGGAAGAAAAATGGATAATTTTCGCAAAGAAAAGCAAATTTAAGGTTATATGACAACTTAAGAAGATCTACAGAAAATAATGAAATGCAAATGTAGATATGAATTGAAAGGTAAATAATAAGACATAGGGGACAAATGATCAATTATAGAACATTAATCAATAGATGTCTAATAGATAAAAACAACAACACAATGACAAGAATTTAAGAAATTCCAATTAACTTTATAAAAAAAAGATGTCAAATCAGCAATAAAGACAGAGAGATTAATGGACTGGATTAGTAAATAGAATGCATCTTATCACAGGCTACAAGACAATCACCTAACAGCCAGTAACATGTATCACCACAGGGTAAAAGGAGGAAAAATATGTACCTCAGGAAAATGAAACCAAAAAACTAATGTAATTCACTTCAAACCAATGCTAATCGGACAAATAAGTAGAGACTCTTAATACATGTTTAGGAAAAGACTAACAACAGGATAATACCACAATAAACATACAAGGACCAAGTATAAGAGCATTCAATTTTATAAAAGAAACACTACGGGACTAATAACAAAAAATTGACACCAATACAATAATAGTGGGTGATTTCAATGTCCCATTATGAACAACAGACAGGTTATCTGATGATCAAAAAGTTGCCCATCATTGTAATTATATAGATTCCATACAATAGTAGTAATACAGCCACTTTTTGAGCTATTAATGAACCCAATTCCCTAGGTTACCATTAAATAATAATGTTGTCAGAAAGAAAAAAAGCATTTGGCTCTACTCTATAAGCTTATTATTTAGAGTGTGTTTTAGAGTATCAACACCTGTGATAAAATTTTAAACTTAAAGTGTAGTGAAACATTATGTCTGCATATAATTTCTTTTATTTACTATTGAGTACTTCTAATAAAGTTACATTTTAGGCCAGGATAATGAAAATTGTAGACATTACATACTTTATATTTTCTGTCCTATTGTGTAGGAATGGTTAAACTTAAAATGACAAATGTGTTTTAGATGTTCCCTTTTCTGAAGAACATATAATTTGCCAATCTCACTGAAAATGAACCAGAAGGCAAAACATGATACAGTGTATGACATTTTCTTGTGTGTGTGTGTGTGTGTGTGTGTGTGTGTGTGTGTGTGTGTGTGTGTTTGTGGTGATGCAAAAATCAATTTTATATATTTATTGATTAGAGAATAAACAGAAGCTTGCATTGGATATGTCTGAGCTCTCATGTTACGAAAACATTAATTTTTGAATGACTGAACAAAAATGTATGCATAGTTAATATTAACAGAAATACTTGTCAAAATGTCAAGTATAATGTTATATGCTTGAAATACTACTGTTTGCAAGAATAACTCAGGATTGTTGTAAGCCTGAGTCCAACCTGATCTATTCAATGAGACTGTTTCAAAAATTAAAACAAACAAAATTTTCAAATGAAGTTCACAAAGTCCAGTTTGTTTGACACTTCTGAGTCACTTAAATTGAAAGCTATAAAATCTGATAGAGTAAAATTCCTGCTGTGGGATGTCTTTCTCTAAGCTATGAATATGTTTCATTACCATTGGTCAATAAAGAAGCTGTTTTGGCCTATATCAAGGCAGGATATATCTAGGCAGGAAATCCAAGCAGGAATGCAGGGAGAGAATGGCAGAGTCAGGAAGATGCCAGCAAGCTACATAAGAAGCAAGATGTAAAAGCACTGGTAAGCCACCAACTACATGGCGTTACACAGATTATTAGAAATGGGTTAATTTAAGATGTAAGAACTAGGAGGCTGGAGAGATGCTGTGGGATGGTCTGTATGTCAAATGTGTTGCTGATTGGTCAATGAATAAATCACTGATTGGCAGTGGCCAGGCAGGAAGTATAGGCGGGACTAACAGAGAGGAGAATTGAGAAAACAGGAAGCTGGGTGGGGGAGACACTGCCAGCCGCCATGATGAGAAACAGCATGTAAAGATGCCGGTAAGCCATGAGCCATGTGGCAAGGTATAGATTAATGGAAATGGATTAATTTAAGCTGTAAGAACAGTTAGCAAGAAGCCTGCCACGGCCATACAGTTTGTAACCAATATAAGTCTCTGTGTTTACTTGGTCGGGTCTGAGTGGCTGTGGGACTGGCGGGTGAGAGAGTTTGTCCTGACTGTGGGCCAGGCAGGAAAACTCTAGCTACAGCTCAGGGGTTAAGAGCGCTGACTCTTCTTCCAGAGGACCCGAGTTCAATCCCCATCACCCACATGGCAGCTCACACCTGTCTGTAACTCCTGTTCCAGGGGATCTGACACCCATGGCAAAACACAAATGCACATAAAATAAAATTAAAAATATATTTAAAAAAGATGTAAGAACTAGCTAGCAATAAGCTTGAGTCATAATCCCGTTTGTAATTAATAGTAAGTGTCTGAGTGATTATTTCACAAGCTGCTGTGGCTCCAAGTGGGACAGAGAAAAGGCTTCAGCTACAAATCCCTTCCTGAATAATCCTAATTTAAACCTTATACAGCAGTTATTGATTGTATACCATATAAAATATGATGTGTGCAATAGCTTAAGTAAATAAATAGAAAAGAAACTAGTAATACCTCAAATGATGAAAGGATAATATAATAAACTACAAGAAAGAAAAAAAAATCCTTAGAGCTGTATTAAAGATCATGAACTCCTAAAATCAATCAAGAAAAGATGCACATGGTTCAAACAAAAATTCAAAGTTTTCAATTCTATGCCTGTTGGGTAAACAAAGTTAAATCACAGTCTCTTTAAATTCTTTAGTAATGGCCAAGGGAGATGATACACCATGTTCTACCATTCTCTGACTTATATTTTTCTTTTTTCTTTATTAAGTAATTTTCTACTCACTCTACATAACACCCACAGATCCCACCTCCTCCTTCCTCCCATCTCCCAGCCCTCCCTCCCAAGCCACCCCACATCCCCCAAATCAAGGTCTCCCATGGGGATT